TATATATATATATATGAGGCCACGGATTTGTGCATCATTTTATGAGTTTTCTTTTCCTTTTTTTTTCCTCCTTTTTTTTTTTGTGTAATAAAGGGATACAATTATATAGTAAGTGGTACACACTTCCGATGGTGTCTCCCTTTTTCTTTCTTTATGCTTGGCTTCTTGCCGTATGTTTGGAACTAAAGTGTGCATTGTAGCTGTTTTTCCTTGATTTATGAAATTCCAAAACAAAACTTGGATATACTTAAAGTTTATTATACTGTATTAAACTCATATGAGGGCCAATATTTTTCTGTCTTCTTTGATCCAATCTTGAATTGCGCTATGTATATTCATAATTTTTCATAACTATTTCGAATTGCATAAATTGTTGAAGGCAAGTATTTGCTTGGTGCAGGTGTTATTCCAAAATGATTCGCCTGCAACTTTACTTGCACGGGTGATAGGAATTGTAGGTCCTATTGAACAAGGCATGTTGGCAAAAGGCCGAGACACGTACAAATATTTTACCAAAAATCACATGCTTTACGAACGGAATCAGGTAATAATTATTATTTTTGAACCATTTATTATGGAGGAGCATGCAATGATAATATTGCCGACTGAGATTTCTTTTTTTTGTTTTTTTTTTTTCTTTTTTGGGTGAGGGAAAGATCTCTTTTTATATGGAATGCAAACACACACACACACACACACACACACACACACACATATATATATATTATAAGAAAAGGGAAATGAAAGAGGACAAGGGGTCCACCGAAACAAAAAACATAAGCAAGAAAAAAATCCCAAAAACAGAGTCTAAATCAGACCCCACAATAAACTACTCACTGCAAAATAAAATCCCACCCCCTTAATAAATCGGAAAATGAAAACACAGTGCATCCTTTAGATTGAGAAATCCATAAAGCTACCCAATATCTAAGTCTATCCCAAAGATCATTACTATTTTCTTGTGATTTCACATCCTCTTTTATTTGCACCCAGCTGTGACCGCTGCTCTGGATGGTTTTATATTCATGATTTCGTTTTTAACTGTTCCAAATTTTATTATCTTTTATCTTTTTTTTTTTCTTTCAGAATTCTGATAGTCTTGGATAATTCCCCTTTACTTAGTAAATTGTTCCACCATTTCTATGTGTACTTACACTAATGGGTTTACAACTTTACATGCTTTGGAGCCAACATAAAATTTGGAATGATTTACGATATGCTGCCCGGAAGCGGAGACGGATTCTTCCATTTTTTGGTCATCTTCTATTTTTTCTGTTTCGTAATTCAATGGAAAATTCGAAAGAGTGAAAGGAACCAGTATTAGAGTTCCATGGGAAAAAAAAAATTAGAGTTACATGGCTGTTTTCTTTGTTACTTGGATGCACTTCCTAACCAGATTCATATAGTAGTATCTATCCATGCTAACAAAAGAAAGGAAAGAATGAGTGGAGAAAACTTCGGGTGCGTTTGGAATTGATTTTTGCTTGTTTCTAGAAATGTTTTTGCACACCTTTTGAGGCAAGAAAATAAAAACGGTTTTCAAACCGTGTTTGTTTAGCAAATATTTTGAAAACGAAAACGAAAATAAAAAACAGTGAGAATGGTTTTTGTGAAAGAATTAGAAAACGGTTGAAAGTTGTTTTCCCTTTTCTGTTTTCATTTCCTAGTACTTATCAATAATGTTATAATATATTAATTAATAATTATAACCAAAAAACGATTTTACTTTTTTATTATAGTTAAAACAATCCCTTAAAAAACTAACCAAACGCAATTTTAGAATCGATCTTAGAATGATTTTTAGAACAGTCTCATTTTTTCTTTTGTATTGAAAACAAAATCATTTTGAAAACGTTACCAAACGGGCCCTTCATAATCATGTGGATTTTTACTGGGTTGTGCGTCTGTGTTTATGTGGCAACATGGCTGTTCATAGACCTGTATAGGTACATATACACACCCACAAATGAAACAATCTATTACAGACACACAAAATAATCATACATGCACACATTGATCTACAATTTATATGATTTTTTTATTGAGAAATGCTGAAGATGCCCCATGCATTATTCAGGAAACAAATAGGCTGGAATACTTGATACCGAAAAAGACATCCTTGAGACATCGACTTCCGATGGGGGACCAAGGATTCATAGACTTTGTTGCTCATTTGCTTGAGGTAAACCCTAAGAAGCGGCCATCTGCATCGGAGGCTCTGAAGCACCCCTGGCTATCATATCCTTATGAACCCATTTCGGCTTGACTTTTTTGGGGGTTCGCTTGATTGTGGTTAGATGCAGCAGATGCACCGATGTTTTCGTTAGTGTCTTGCAAAGGGTCTGAGAGGGGAGGGCCCCATACATTTGATTGGTTACCAGAACTCATTATCTATTTAAAAGTGATTTCGGAAGAGATTTGCACTTTCACATTTCCGTGCAACACGTTCGTTCAAAGGTATGTTTGGCTTGTGGTGGTGATGCCCCTTTTTTCCCCGTACCCTCACCAAGTTGTACTCCTGTTAACCGTAATCAGAATGTAATTGTGCACGTGCTGTATTACTAGGTTCATCACTTTGTTTTATGTAGTGAAGGGGGAAGTCTCAAAATTCCTGTTGTACATGATGTTTGTGATAATTCTTTTTAGGTTAATTAGTAATATCTTTGTGAAATATCTGCCTAATCCAGTTTTGGCTTGGCTCTCTTCATGTGCTTCATTGTAACAGACGATGTGCCATTGAGCTTTGTGCTTCTGTGTAATCTTATCTCTTTTTCTCAGTCTCTTTTAGTCAAGTATAGCATCTCTCTTTTGGACAAGTAATGGTTCCCATCTTCTATTATTTATTATTTATTATTATTTGCGTTATCTACTACTTGAATCCAAAACTTAATACATTAATAGGAACTCATTCGCGCACTTGACACCAATTAAGGCCTCTTTTAGGATGATCTTCTATTATTTAACATTCTAGTTTTATACATAGACAATATGGGTATTTTTTTTATTTATTTTAAAACCAAAATTTTCAATGGAAGAGTTAATTGCAAGAAAAACAATGAAAGGGGTTTATTATCTACACTACAAATGAGTGTTCAGACTCTATTGCTGACTTTCTCATATGTTTCTTTTTTCGGTCTCTTTTACAAAAAGATTGCAACGTCGATAAACTATTATACTAGTAGTCTTAATTTTTGACTGTTGGATTTGATTAAAATCATATTATATTGAAAAAATATGTTTAAAATATAAGTTTTGATACAGATTTAGCGATTGAAAAGTAAAGGAGTACTAGTAGTTCATTTTTGTAGGGATTACCAGATAAAATCCTTAAAAAAATGATAAAACCTTTGATTTTTTTTTTTCCCTGAATATATAGCGTTCAAATTTTTAAGAATATGTTCTTTATAAATCAAATATCTGTTACGAAAAGAACCTGTTACTCGTAGTTTACGAAAAGAAATTTGTAAAAGTAGATAACACAAATAAAAAGGGTGTAAAGGAGAAATACTATAGTTCATTTGATATATTGTTTAGTCAAAAACACACATCAGCAAACAACAAAAGAGAATCAAATATATTACATTTTTGTTTTGTTTTTCCTTTCACTGATAGACAATAGACCACAAGTATATATAATGAACATTATGAAAGCACAACAATCTGGGTTTCGCTTAAAAAAAAAAAAAAAAAAAAAAAAAGGGTTCCGTTATGCAGCAGTATCTTCAGGTCACCTTAAAAAAAAGCTCACCAGGGATTCAAAAAATTAAATATAATATTTAATTTTTACTAACTTTAATATTTTGCCTCAAATATTTTTTAAAAAAAAATTTAAATAAGAAAATTAAAGAAAGACACCTCAGTGGGCTTTTGTTTTGATATTTTTAAGTGAAGCGCTCTTTCTTATTTTCAAGAACTTGGAGTCAAAAAGGAAATTTTGGGGGAAAGTAATAATAAGCAGACTTGTAAATATTGGTTAAACATAGAATAAATGCGAACGAGCCTAAAATATATATATAAAAAAAACAAAAAACAAAAAACAAAAAACAAAAAGAATGAATGTTCTTCAACCAAAAAAAAAAAAAAGGGGGGGGTTGAAGGCTCAAGAAGAGAGGGTGTCATTCTGGTAAATCTATTTTTTAAAAAATGACTTGCTTAACAAAATTAAATTGACACTATATTTAGCACTCATGATTTACATGTTATTATGAGCTATGTGATGTCATTTTTGAAAGTCCATTGGTGCATTTATGATTATCCACCCTCTTTTACCAAGAAATAATTGGCTTCCACATAAATACAATCCACAGTCACGAGGCAACAATGTTAACTCAAACTTAAAACCACAAAAATGAAAGGGGATGGCTTATAACTATCTTTTACTTTTGAGGCATTTCTACAGTGAAGTTCATTGGTTTAGTGGAACAAGTTCCGACAACTATAATACGAATGGATCTCACAATATATTAATAAATTGAGATAAAAAACTTATACTAAAAACAAATTAAGATACAAAAATTGAGATGAAAAAACTTCTACTAAAACGATTAAGACACAAAACCAATTAATCATTCTAAAAAAAAACAATTACCAACTGTCTCCAATTACTTGCACCGGCCGGCAGGGAGGAATCTTGTAGATCATTTTTTGTTTTCAACAAAAACAAGATTTTTTGCATGCTGCTTTGGAGTATGGAGTTTGGAGTTTGTGTGTGGCACCAACAGCGTTTTGATGCTCCTTGAGAATGTGTTTTATTAATGTGGATGCTTCAGTGAGATCTACTGGTGATTCGGATGGCTGTGTTTTGAATGCTTTGGCTGTTCGTGAAGGGATTATGTGGCTTTGGAGACGGATGCTGTCAATGTTGTCCATGCAGTTCATGTTTGCTCACCGCGATCCCCAGAGGCTAATTTATTCTTTTCTTTTTTTTTTTTTTTTTTCTAACCACGTGACAGAAAAATTTGTCAGGACGCTAAAATAAAATAAGAACTTTCACAACATAAGATCAGTGAAATTCTATTCGAAACTCAAAGAATACTAAAAAAAAAGAAAAGAAAGAAATTTACCATGCAATCAGTAGAACCGTACAAAGTTTGTCAGACAAATACTCTACATTCCTTAGAATTACAAAATTTTCAACACGCAGCAAGCACTTGACCATTTCTGATAGAATATGTTTGGATTAAAAAACAAAAAAAAAAAACAAAAAAAAGATAAGAAGATCAGGGATCAAAATGCCTCTCGAAACATTGAGATCTGCCTAATATTTAAGAAAGATTTCTGTTAGCTCTTATATCCTAGAGCTTGGTTTTGAAGATTTTGGTTGTCTTCTAAGAGACGGTCGTATTCGAGCAGTAGATCCGCGGCTTGCTTCTGAAGGGCTTGAACATGGGCTTCAGCAGTTTCAACCTTCTTATCCTTCTCTTCAGATTTAATTTTCAACTTCTTCAAACTTTCTGATAATGTGGAAACTTCATCTTTAAGCAACTTTATTTCCTTGGAATATTTCTGTTCCTTTTCTTTGAGCTGCATCTTCTCCTTCTGAAGTTTCTCAAGTTCTTCCTTGGAAGATCCCACACTACTCCTCAGTCCAATGAGTTTCCGAATATAATGGTGCATTCGATCAATAATGAAGCCGAGAAATAGGGTAAAACCTACAAGATCGATTAAACTTCAGTGCACGATGAGAAATAAAACTACACGCTGCGTATAAAAGGGATGAGATAATAACATTAGTGTATCACCCTCTACTATTTTTATGGTCAATCATATCAGATAATAAAAACATCATCTGGACTGTTATATCGTACAATCAAGTTCTCCTTTTTAATCATTTTGAAATCGAACACTTATGTTAGGCGTAAATACAGAAAGCGATCATCTTTTTTACTTTTTATTTTTTATTTCTTATTTTCTATTTTTTATTTTTCTACTATTTAGGACTTCTGTTATGGGGTGATTGAGTTTTAGTTTCAGTAGAAATTTCAGGGTTAGTCTAGTTTCCACTAGAGTTAGAATTTCCTATCTATATACATGCTTTATTATGCTAAGCTTTTCGGAGTTTGATTTATGAATTTTGAGAACTATTCAGATTATGCATCCCTAGTTCTATTTCTGTAGCTCACCCTCCTTGACGGTCCCACTCTCTCTCTACCTTATATACTTTTTCTCATGGTCCAGCACCACTAACATAAGATGGCTCCAAAACCAACACACTAATGTTGAAATAGCAAATACTTAGCCTTTTCCTATACAGCAAGGGGAAAAAATACACAATTTTGGCATATATATAATTGTAAACATCGAAACTAAGTCATCGGATATAATGGACAGCATAACTAAGCTAGATCAATATCAAGCAAGTTATGATTAATGATCATCGGTTTTAAAGAGCCAAGATATTAACCATAATGCAAGTATTTTGGCAAAAACAAACAACAAAATGAGACAACATTTAATTTGTGTAAGAATAATCTCCTACAGTTGCCATGTTTTTTTTTTTTTTTTTTTTTTTTTTTTTTTTTATATAATAGAAACTTTATCGATAAGAATCAATAACAAGGGCAAAGGACAAGGTATCCTCAAGCAGGAAAGATACAGAAATTGCCAGGTGTGAAAAACCAACAGTTGCTTTTATGAAGTGGAGAGCCAATTAAGAGAACACACCACACAATCACTATTTCAGCTAAGAATCCATGGGCTAAGTACGGAGGCAAGACACGGCACATTTCCATTCACTGTTCATGTGTTGGGCTTAGAAGCCTAACTAATGTTCCGTTCCATTCTGTTCTGTTTTGTTTTGTTTTGTTTTTTGGGGGATGCAGGATCCTAATTTTCATTTTCTTGAGCTCCCTTTACAAATAATCATTCTACGACAGTAAACAGCAAAAATGAATATGCGTTCAACTTCAAGCTTATAAAACAACCTAGCATCTTTTGGACAACTGACTTCAATTGGATTCAGAAACACTTAACCCATGATCTCCAATACTGTGTAATTCTTTCATTATTACTATCTCATGTTTCCCACACAAAAAAAAAAAATTAAAAAAAAAAGTTATCAACCACACTTAAATTTACTTGGTGTGGCTAGAATGCCAATTAATCAAATCCATCCCTTCTCAAAACCATGAGGGAAAGAAACAGACTAAATGGAATATTTCCCTTCTCTTGTGAGCCCAGTTATAGTAATCAATCTATGTGTTCATATGTTATTTCTTAATATTTCCTTAGAGATCATGCAATTTCATCCAGGATTAAGTTAATATAAGATTTTGGAGGAAAAAAAAAATCTCCAAGATTTTATGTTCTCTCCTTATAAACAATAGCCAGGTTGCCATGTAAGTCAAACAATAAACGACAAAAGTTCTTAAGACCTAGTTCCTTGTTTTACATCTATCAATTGATTCCTTAATGTCACTTACTAAAAAGGAAAAAAAATGTTGTATACATAAAAAAAAAAGAAACATAAAATTACACATACCCATGAGTGAAGCCTCAAGCAAGTGGGTCCTCCAGAGAACCTGATCCATAGGCGACATGGAACCGAGCTTTGCACCTCTATTCTGGATCTTAACAATGCTGAAGAAACTCGACATGAAAATCGCAAACATTGTCCCTGCAATTGTCAAAACAGTGCCTCTTTTCATCTTAAGTTGATCAAGACTCTTAATCACAAGCTCCCTCAGCGGCCCAATCTTAACCAACAGAAGGAACGCCACAACGGCCTCCGCGAACAGCACCAAGAAAAGCAACTGAATCATTCTTCCTCTCACTTTTACGAGAAACGACGATAATCAAAATAAGACGACACCTATTTCTTTTGTTGGTTTCAGAACCGAAAATCATAGGAAAATCCGAAACCCCACTTCGAAAAGCCCTTCCCCCGATTCGGAAATGCAAGCCAAAGGAAGACCCATTTGATCGTTCACGAAAGGATGTTTTTTTTTTTTTTTCTTTTTCTTTTCCTTTTTTTATGAAGGGCTTTTGTTTTTGATGAAATTGAGGATTTTAAGGCCTCAGATCTGGAGAGTGAGAAATGGGTTTCGGAGTGCTTACTGTTGATGTTGTTGACAAACCCAAAAGAGCTGGTTTTGGCTGCGGTTTTAGGGGTTTTTGGCATCTACATGGGAGTTCTTGAGGAAAGATGGAAATGAACTAAGGACATGACAGAGGGCAGCGAGGGTATTTCACGCGACTACTTTTTTCTTTTTTTCCTCTTATGACAATCTTGCATTCTCGCGGTAAATAAAAGAAATTTTTTCCTTTTATGCTTTCACAAAAAACAAAGGAAAAAAAAGAAAAAGAAAAAAAGATGTGTACTGAAACTTTACACCATTGATTGGATCATTGGAAGCACTTGGTTTGGCCCTTTGTGCTGTGTTCTGGTTCAATGAAGTTAATTTTATAAACATATACAAATAGCTACTATATATGGTAATGGTGTATATATGTATGAGAAACGTTTCATTATCGCGGTGGGTTATGTGATGATGATGAAGGCACTGAAGGAAACGAGACTATCAAATGAATCCATAGTATCCAATAGTTCTTGTTTTCTTTTCTTTGTTTTTTTTTTCTTTTTTTTTTTTTTGGGAAATGTCATATCTTTGTTCAATATATGTGTACTCTTTAAATAATTCTAATGACTGGTTCTTGTATAATTTGTTTCATAGTCTCTACTGTACAATGTTCACATGATTTATGAGTGTGTATTATGATGAATTAGAAAGGGTAAGAATTGCGTTGTAATTATGATAATTACTAATTAGTTGTGAATTCTTGTTTTCTTTTCTCCTTTTTTTTTTTTTTTTTGAGAAATGTCATATCTTTGTTCAATATTTGGGTATTCCTTAAATCATTTTTATGAATGGTTCTTGTACAACTTGTTTCATAGTCTCTACTGTACCATGTTCACTTGATTTATAAGTGTATATTATGATGAATTAGAAAGGGTAAGAATTGCGTTGTAATTATGATAATTAGTTGTGAGTTCTTAAGAATTGCGTTGTAATTATGATAATTAGTTGTGAGTTCTTGTTTTCTTTTCTTTCTTTTTTTTTTTTTTTTTTGGGAAATGTCATATCTTTGTTCAATATTTGTGTATTCTTTAAATCATTCTTATGACTAGTTCTTGTACAACTTGTTTCATAGTCTCTACTGTACCATGTTTACTTAATTTATGAGTGTGTTATTTGATATGATCATTTGCATTTTGACCACATGTCATATTTAAAATTACTAGTTATAGTAATTTGTATATGTTTTTCAGAAATATTATTAAAACGTTTATCTGTGAGTATAAAGGTGGTTACACATTTAGGACATTGTAATTTTCAGGTTTTCATGTGATTTAGGTGTTTGTTACGTGATTTAGGTGTTTGTTATGTGATTTGGTAATTTTCATTGTGACCACTGGCCATCTTTAAAATGACTAGTTAATTGTTTTCATTTCTATAGGCGTTCATATGAGAGAAGGTTTTCGATATAGGCCTTTACAGTAGTGGGCTGGGCATGGGCCGGGCCTAAGGGCCCCTCCAGCCCTAGCCCCCGGCCCTGGCTCTTAAGGGCTAGAGCCGGGCCCGGGCCTAGGCCCTTATAGGCCAGCCTTACTAATGGTCTTGTAGGATCTTCATAGAGCCGGCCCTTTAAGACTTTATTGGGCCGGCCCTACTAATGATCCTGTAGGACCTTCATAGGGCCTGCCCTTTTGAACTTTATTGGCCCGGCCCTACTAAAGGCTCTGTTCAACGGTCGAATTTATGGCCACTGAGTAGGCACAGGTCGATCGGTAGAGGCATCACCGGTCGACCGGTGGCTTACAACTTCTCTGCTATTGGATGACCGGATTACACTGGATTCATCTTAAAACTTAATTTTAATCTAAGTTTCTTAATGCACTTGAGCTTCACTTATGAATAACAATTTTTTAGGATATTTTTTTATAATTTCATATTTGATGACGAAAAAAAAGTAATATATCATATGCCCAAAAAAATTATGATTTTATTGAAATAATATGAATAATTACAAGAAAATGATTGGTTGACTGGACGACATAGGTCGGCTGGTTGGTACTAAAATGCCTCAAACCTCATTAAAATTTCATGTCACGGGTGTGGGCCTTCACAGGCCGTGCCTAGCCCTTCGCGTGCCTGGGCCTTGGCGGGCCTGGGCCGTGCTTGGGCTACGGGCCTGGAAAATGAGGCCCCTTTTGGCGTGCCGGTCCAGCCTGGTCTATAACAGTACAGAGTCGGCTATGCCGAATTGACCACTGTAGCGGGCTGGGTTGGGTCGTCTATAGATGGCCCGGCCTATTTGACACCTCTAATCATAATCAATTTTCTGAATAAAAACTGCCTAAATTATTTGGTAAGCAGCTTTTTTTTAGATTCTACTGGTGATTTTTTCATTTGATGTATAAACGGTAAAGAAATCCTACTACTAGCAAGACAAAGTAGTTTAATTGGTATGACCACTTGGTAATTTCTATAATGACCATAATTAATTTTTTGAATAAAAATTGCTTAACTTATTTTCTAAGCATTTTTTTTTTTTTTAATTTTAAGATTCTACTGGTGGTTTTCTCATTTGTTGTATAAACGGTAAAGAAATCCTACTACTAGCAGGACAAAGTAGTTGAATTGATACGCTACGGTAATTATTGAGATTAGCACTCGGTAATTTCTGTAATAGCCATAGGCATTTTTTTGAATAAAAACTGCTTTAGTTATTCACTAAGTAACTTTTTTTTGAACCACCATAACAGCATATTTGTCCTTTATAGTTATTTTAAAATAGAATTAAAAAATAAATAAAAACAAATAGACAAACAAAACATCAAAACATTAAACATACTCCTACCAAAAGTTCAAAATATAAAAGTGCTACAACAAATGTGAAACCAAAATTAAAAGAAATCCTGAAAAATGGTTCGCAGCATCATCTACTTTGAGATGTGGTAGTGGAGCCCAATCCATGAGGCCGCAAAGATGCGTGGAGTGGTACTGGGTTACTAAGGGATTGTTCTTTTGGAGTATAATTTGAGTGTAGTTTTTGAGTTGAATTTAAGTTATAACTTGAGTTGAAGTTAGAACTTGAATAAAGTTGAGTAAAATTGAATAAAATTGAAACTTAAGAGAACGTGAATTTGAATAAAATTAAAACTTGAGTTGTCCTTTTTTGAGTTTTTTTGGAGAAAAGAACATGCCCTAAAGGTTTGTATTTTGGGGCCAACCTAGATTCAAGCTTTAGAGCCACATCTCGCCTCTCTACGTGCAACTTCTGCATTTCTTATTTAGAATTGTGAGTTATGTATATTTTGTAGGATGTCAGAAGGACAGGAGAATACCTGTTGGATTCTTGAGATCCGTAATGTAGAGGTGGCACGTAAAGGGGCGAGATGTGGCTCTTGACTTATTAGTTTACCTTTAATTTTTTCAGCCTCGTCCGACAGATTAGTTTGAGTACTCTGTTACTATCATTTTGAGTACTAACGTGGATTGTCAACATTACCGTAGTGCACCAATTCAAAGTAGGATTTCTTTATCATTTCAGAAATTACCGTAGTGTATCAATTCAATCACTTTTTCTTGTTGGTAGTAGGATTTATTTACCGTTTATATATCAAATGAAAAACCACCAATAGAATCTAAGAAAAAAAAAGCTGCTTAGTGAATAATTTAAGCAGTTTTTATTTGAAAAATTGATTATGGTCATTATAAAAATTACCGATGGTAAGTGTACTAATTCAACTACTTTACCCTGTTAGTAATAAGATTTCTTTATCATTTATACTATAAATGAAAAAATCACTAATATAATCTAAAAAAAAAGATGCTTAGTGAATAACTTAGGTAGTTTTTATTCGAGAAATTGATATGGTCATTACAGAAATTACCAAGTGATAATTTCAGAAATTAACATAGTGTATCAATTCAACTACTTTGTCATGTTGGTAGTCTTACGTTATTGTGTTAGTTGGCTGTTTGGCAAACTGAGTTTTTTTTTTTTTTGTAAGTAAAGGTCTAGAAAATAGCAACTAGAAATCATCATGGTATTCCGGATTAATACAGTGGAGTTGGTGCATTGTGCAGATTAGTTGTTGCTAACAAATAAGGAGAAGATAAAGCCAAACACGTGAAGATCTCGATCTTTTATTTGAATTTGTACTTGATCTGATTTTCTAAGGAGGTTCGGATTTAGAAATCAAGAAAGATAATCCGGAGGATTTGGAATTCAAATTTAAAAGAAGATTATGCAAAACACATCGGAGAGAATCATGGAGAAGAGATAAGAGATTTGTATTTGAACAAGATTCGGTGAGCCATTGGAAAGATGAGATAAAAGGCTTAAGTTCAAGAAATAGTGTTACGCTTTTGAATGTGCAGAAATTTCCAGAGGGTGTGCTGTTGAGAGAAGAGAGAACTTGTTGAGAAGTTCTGAGCCCTGTTCAGTGATGAAAGTATGAACGACTGAAGGGAGTTCAGTAGTTGAATGTGAAGACGTATGGTACACGCTAAACAGAGTCATTGTGCGAGTTCATCACAGCCGCGTCATAGTCTAGGAGGGAGTCTTTGAGTGAATAAGTCCGTTAGTGTTGTAATTCTTGAAGTATAGTGAAACTGTTTACTGTCTGGGCGTGGCCCTATAGAGTAGGTGTGCGCACCGAACTGCGATAACATATCGTGTGCATTTATTTTACTTTTTGCATTATTGTCTTTCCGTAGTAATTAATCTGAAGAGTAAGAAAGCAGGTGGTGTTCCAACATCATCTGGAACATCAGACGTAACATCAGATCATACATGCAGTAGGATTTCTTTACTGTTTATACATCAAATGAAAAAACCAACAATAGAATCTAAAAAAAAAAATCTGTTTAGTGAATAACTTAGGCAATTTTTATTCAAAATGGTCGTTACAGAAATTACCGAATGGTAATTTTAGAAACTACTGTAGTGTACCAACCTAGGATAGTTCATACTGCTATGCAGCACGGATTCTTCCAAATATCACAATTACAAATAATTGATTAAGAACTTTCATTTTTGGACCAATATAGGCTATGGACTTCTTGCGTAGACAAAGTCATGAAGATTCAACTGATGGAAGAACATTCAATTATATCCACAACATCAGGATTATAAGACAACATCCTTCCAGATGGTTAGAGCAGGGCTTCACTGCTCCTTCAAGATGTCAAGGCAAATGCTTCCATTGCTGTTTATGTTTGGGGGGAAGACCTTTGTTCTAAATGCCACCTGCAAAAGTCCACCGATGTCTGAGTGAGTGAGAGAGAGAAATCGGACCCCTACAATCTGATGCAATTATGCAATAATATGTGACTACGTGACAATGACAGCGGCACCCTATTTCGTTTGAGTTTTAACAACTCAAATAGTAGAGATTTAAACTTTTTTAGTTAGAATTGTAGAATCTAAATTGTGGTGATTTTAATTGTAATTTGAACCGGTGTTTGAATATACAAATAAGTTATAATTTGAATTGAAAATAAAATCCACACTATGTTTGGATAAAGTGTTGAAAACTGTCATTCAAATTTTGTAACAAATATTATAAAACATCATTGTAAATGACATTAAAAAACATGCAATATGGATGAAGATTTGTTTCTCTCTTCATTAGGAGGACATTAAAAAAAAATAATAATCTCAATTAGAATTAAAACAAAGAAATTATAACATTCTTAAGGTTGAAATTGAAGAGAGAGAAAAAGTAAAATCTGAAAGTGTTGAATTGTTGACAACAATTCGGATAAAGTGTTCATTAGAATTTTGTAACAAATCTTATAAAACCTCATTGTGAATGACATTAAAAAATATGCAATATGGATGAGGATTTGCTCCTCTATTCATTATGAAGACATCAAAAAAATAATAATCTCAACGAAATTAAAACAAAGAAATTATAACATTTTTAAGGTTGAAATTGAAGAGAGAGAAAAAATAAAATCTAAAAGTGTTGAACTGTTGACAACAATTTGGATAAAGTGTTGAAAACTGTAATTAGAATTTTGTAACAAATATTATAAAACCTCATTGTGAATGACATTAAAAAATATGCAATATGGATGAGAATTTGCTCCTCTATTCATTATGAAGACATTAAAAAAATAATAATCTAAATCGAAATTAAAACAAAGAATTATAACATTTTTAAGGTTGAAATTGAAGAGAGAGAAAAAATAAAATTTGAAAGTGTTGAACTGTTGACAACAATTCGGATAAAGTGTTCATTATAATTTTGTAATAAATCTTATAAAACTTCATTGTGAATGATATTAAAAAATATGCAATATGGATGAGGATTTGTTCATCTCTTTATTATGAAGACATTAAAACAATAATAATCTCAATCTAAATTAAAATAAAAAAGTTATAACATTTTTAAAGTTGAAATTGAAGAGAGAGAAAAAGTAAAAATTTGAAAGTGTTGAACTGTTAATAACAATTCAGATTGTTATAATTTTAAAATTAATACACCTTTAACTTTTTATTTTTTGCATAATTGTTACACGTTGAACTTTGTAAAACTTTTAATTGTTATACGATAAAGATATTATCTATGTTAATTTTCAGAAATTGATTATTAACTTTAATGCCATATACCAAAACTGTTAAAAATAAAAATATTTAAATATAATGTGTTAAAATCAAAAGCTCACGGACTAATGTGTTACTTCATTCAAAGTGTCTTTATGTTCAAAATTAGTATACGTTTAGTTTATAGATTTAAAATTATGATTCATAATTATTCTCAATTTATGTATATTTTTTATGAAAAAAATATTATAATGAATCACGAATCGTAATTTAAATTATGACACGAATTCATCAATTAAACGCATAAGACTCATAGTGCCCATAACACTTTTCCTAATAATTTCAGAAAAATCTATTTTTTTTTAATTTAAAAAATTGCTCAAAAAGTGTATGACTGTGGCATATCCTAGACATAATGCATATATGCGCATAGTCGTTGAATTGACACGCTTTGGGTAGCACGTCAATGAGCCAAGTGCTGGCTCATGTGACACGACAGCCTTTTGCCTGAGGCGCACGTAACAGACGGAGGAGGGGATACTAGGAAACAAGTATTCTTACACGCAATGGTCACGGTCGAATATTGGGTTTCCGTCCAGCTACAGAAAGGAAAAAAAAAAAAAAAAAAAAAAAAAAAAAAAAAAAAAAACAAGAAGAAAAGAAAACCACAAAATGACAAATATCTAGGAAATTACACATAAAAATTTAAAATATGGTATGAATTTTAAAATTACTTTACAAATCAGTTAAAGTTATTATTTAAGTCTCTCTAACTCTCTCTCTCTCTCTTAACTAATCATTGTTTCGTTTCCTTTTCATTTTTCTTTGTTTTTAGCCGGGGGTCAAATTTTTCATTGCACATTGCTTCACTCATAAATATGTAGATCTTATCCACGTAACTTCATTCATATGCTTTTTTTAATCCAATTTAGAATAAGACTGATTCAGCTCGGGCATTTCATAATCACCCATCTTATTCAATGCAACAAACTTTTCTTCTCAGCAACAACCACAATATTTTTAAAAGTAAACGCTTCTATCTGTTCCAATGAAGCTGTCAAATTCTATTTGATTATACTTGCTCAACCACTGCTTCAGGCGTTCAGCAAAAATTTTTAAAAAATAAAAATAAAAAAGTAAAATTAAAAATAAAATATTTGCTTACTCTGCGGCTCAAACATGAAATTTTCTTTCCGAAACCTCTTTCAGAATTGAATCTTTCCCATCTACCACTGAAAATTTTTATTAAGAAAGTATACAAAGTCAGTATAATATCAATCTCTATTTCATCATTTTCCCAAATTCTACTACATTTTTTGCTTATTATTAAGTACCAGTTGAAGCCCACGTGCTTTGCACGTGGGGAGCAATATGTGTGTTAAATTTTAACTACCGTGTTTATGTTAAAGCATAAAAAATTTGAATATGAAATCCTATAAATGGAAAAACAAAAATAAAGTTTAAGGGCAAGAAGCCAAAAAAGGGTAAAAAAAAGACTAAAATGATTAAATAAAAAAATTTTGAATAAAAAAATCAAAACGGTAAAAAAATAAAGTTTAAGAGTAAAAATAAAATAAGGGACAAAAAGGACAAAACAAAAAAAAAATAAGGCTCAGGGAAAAAGGAACTAAAAATAAAACAAAATTCAGGACAAAAATAAAAAAATGGTTAAAAAGGACTAAAATGAAAAAAATAAATAAGTTGTAGAGTAACCAACACGAAAAAATGAATTATTAATTATTATTGATTAGTATATTACATATTGATAGTTATAATTTAATATTAATTATTAATTGAGTAATTACTATTTATTTTTTATTTACCAATCATTTACTAATTAATTGATTATAATTAACATAATATATGACTGATATATTAATTATTAATTATTAACATAATAAGTTTTAGGGTAAAAAATTAAGAAACTAAAAGAGGAATTTAAACATATATATGCCTGTAAGGAAATAAAAAGAGAAAAAAATTGGAAAAGTATCAAAGCAAAAAACAAAAAAAAAACAAAAAAAAAAAGTTAGGGTGAGGGGTGTGGATTTCGACCAAAACGTAAACTGTCGAAATCCCAAAAAATGCGGAAGGGATTCACATTTTTTATATATAGACTAGGTGACGAACAGGTGTGAAGGTGGAAAGTAATCACGTATCGTGTTATTATTAAAAGTATATAATAACCCAAAAGGAAATTAGGAAAATTAAGTTTTAGGTTTACTAGCCAAAAAAGTTTTAAAAATGACTAAAATAAAAGGGAAAAAAACCATAGAGAGCAACAAAAAAAAAAAGTAGCAAAATTGATACTAGACACACATTTTTTACCAAGAAGTACGTGAACAGTAATGTTATTTTCGACCAAGAAGATGAAAAGGAAAAAAAAAAAAAAAAAGGGGAAAAATCAAAAGAAAAAATAGAGGAGAACAGTGAAAACACAGTTCATAAGGGGTGATTTTCAACCAAAAGGAAGCCTATTGATATTTCTATGTATTGTTATAGATAGATTAACCAAATTCCAAGCTGAAATTATAAATACAAATACTTTAAATTAAAAAAAAAAGTCGGTAAATTTAGTTATGTCCAGTCTCCACTAAATGACATCTTTCTTTCTCACCGTAGAATCGTTCCCAAAATGGCATCCATTGTATGAAACATAGTTAAATCAGGTTTTTTTTTTTTTTTTTTTTTCTTTCTTTCTAGAAGGATGAAATGGAATAATCATTTCCTTATTAAAAAAAAAAAAACACAAAATCCTGGTATCTATTAATTTAGCATCTGTTGTTGGCAACGTGAAATAAAAACAAAAGCATTTTGTTGATGTTAAAAAATCGATCAACATTCAATCCACCTGTCTGTTAAGTTCCGTATATTAGTTGCATGCCAAAGTCCAGAATTTGGCAAAGTTTGGTATATTAAGGAAGCAAACGATTTTTCTTAATGTTAGACAGAGAGTGAGTTGGACAGACGATCTGCTATATCATTTTCATATTTTTATAAATTCGTTGACTTTAATATTTTTCTAAAAAAAAATAAATAAAAAATTGAATCAAGGTTCAATTATCCACTTGTTTATTAAGTTTCGTATAAAAGTGGCAAAATACTTAGTCGCTCATGAAAATGTCAAATGATATGATGAAAATATTATTTTTTTTAATAGCCAACGGAGTCATCCCCTTCGCTATAAATTAAGGTGGTAATCTTTATCCTTCCACTCACATAGCAAGAAAAATGAAGTCCTTTTGGTCCTCTTTAGTGTTTGCAAAAATTATCATCTTTCTTTTCTCATTTGTACTGCTCGCTTCGGCTGATCATGAAGAATTTCTTCAATGCCTGAGCGTTCGTATACCAAAGTCCGTTGTCTACACTCCAAATAACCCGTCGTATTCGACTATATTAAATTCAAAGAATCAAAATCCTCGTTTTTCTTCTTCTTCGACCAAAAATCCATCCGCTATCGTCATACCATTAAATGTCTCCCATATACAAGCCACTATTTATTGCTCTAAGAAGCATGACGTGCAAATAAGAATCCGAAGTGGTGGCCATGATTATGAAGGCCTTTCTTTTCAGTCCAGTGTCCCATTTTTCATACTCGACTTCCGAAACCTAACTTCCGTTCGCGTTGATGCAGAGAGTAAGACTGCATGGGTTGAGGCAGGTGCGACGCTCGGTGAGCTTTACTACGGGATTGCCCAGAAAAGCAAAACTCTCGGCTTCCCTGGCGGTCTTTGCAGCACCGTTTGTGCCGGTGGACAATTAGGTGGAGGAGGCTATGGCTATCAATCACGAACATACGGCCTCGCGTCTGATAATATTATTGACGCACAATTGATTGACAGTCGAGGAAGAATTCTCAATCGGAAATCTATGGGGGAAGATTTGTTTTGGGCCATACGCGGCGGTGGAGCCGGAAGCTTCGGAATTGTAATTGCCTGGAAAGTTCAACTGGTTGATGTGCCTTCCACAGTGACTATCTTTGCAATCGTAAGGAAGTGGGAAAACAATGCAACAAAGAAGTTTGTTCATCGATATCAACGCCGTGTTTCCAAGATCGATAAGGATCTAAGTCTCTTCCTCGGATTTCAAACTTCGAATACAAGCGATGAACAAGGGAATACAAAGATTGAAATAATAGCTATCATCTCAGCCACATTCCACGGCAGCAAGGATAGGCTCCTTCCATTGATGCAAAAAGAGTTTTCCGAATTGGGTTTGCTCGAAGAAGATTGCACAGAAATGTCGTGGGTCCGATCCATTGTTACTTACAATAATTTTAGAGCCGATGACCCCTTGGAAGTTCTACTTAATAGAACGGTCAATTTCGACGCGAAGGCTTTTAAATTGAGATCTGATTATGTGAGAAAGCCTGTTCCAGATGGCGTGTTGAAAAAATTGTTGGATCGATTGTATGAAGAAGAAGTTGGACAAAGTTATGTCGAATTTTTCCCCTATGGAGGAAAACTGAGCAAGATTTCAGAATCTGAAATCCCATTCCCACACCGAGCTGGAAACCTCTACAACCTTCGGTACATGGCGTCATGGAAAGAAGGCGAAAATACTACAAGCACCAACAAACATCTTAGCTGGGTAAGAAGTGTTTACGATTTCATGACTCCGTATGTGTCTAAAAATCCAAGAGGTGCATATCTCAACTTTAGAGATCTTGACATCGGGGTTAATCCTAATGAGAGTGACACAAGTGCTTATAACTATATTAAACAAGCAAGCGTTTGGGGTACTAAGTATTTTAAAAATAATTTCTACAGATTGGTTTACGTAAAGACTTTAGTTGATCCAACTAATTTCTTTACCTACGAACAAAGTATCCCACCTATTATTCCACATTAAAAAAGGTTATTGGAAATGCTTGTTATCTTGTATTAAAATTGTTGTCTTTAGCTTTCTTACTTTGTCCCTTTTTGAATAAAGGTCGTTTCGTGACCATATAGGTATGAAGTTCCCGAATGTAAATAAAGCTCCCTTTTTTGTTTATCCGGAATTTTTATCTAGTCTTCAATGCTAGTTGCTCCGACAATATGGTCATTAAATTATAATAGGAAAATATCATTCAAGTATATTACAGTATTCCACTTTGTTAAAGTACGTATTATAGATGTAATGAAATACTTCCATCGGATATATACTACGTTATATTCAGAAAAATAATCTCCAGATACAACAAAGTCCTTTTCTGGTACTCAAAATTACAATGTCTATCTTTTTAGTTCAAAAACATTATAAAATGGGAAAATAATAAAAAAAAAATACTGCTATGGGTTCGACAATACCCTTGATTTTTGTAAGTAACTAGTTCGAAATATAAATACAATTTTTTAAATCAAGTTTCTGAATTTATGTTTATAGTGTGCAATCGGATTTAATTATTTCAATAACTTTACAAGAGATATCACCGTACTGAGAAATTTTAATTCATTTATAAGTTATTTTCTAGTTAATTATTAACGATAGTTTATGACCTCGTTTATTTTACCAATTCGAATTTTTAATTTCAGTTTTACTACAGTTAAAAGCTCTTACAAAAAGTAACATCTAACATTTTCTGCTACAGTGAAAAACTCTCACATAAAATTACATGTCAACTCAAATTAAAAATTTGAATCCACAAACTAAATGAGGCCTATCTGTTTCACAATAAAAAATTGCAGAATCAAAGTTCGGTTGATCTGTTAAGGTCAAATTAATGGTTATGTGAATTAAGTAACTTACGATTTGATAAGTAACGATTTATTACATATTTATAATGTCAACTGCTTTGTGGCCTATTTTTCTTTTAAAATTTATTTTTGTCAAGCAAAAAATAATATACAAACAAACATATGTTATGAATAAATTAAGAGCAGTGCTGCTATATTGTACGACTCGCTATTCTCGTGACCGGGTAAGAAAAAGAGTAAAGTTGTAAGTTTAGGTCTGACTAAACGAGCTGCCTTGAGGTCCGTCATCATTAGTATGGTCCCAGTTCGCTTAAGTATCTGTGCCGGTCTTGGCCGGCTTAATCACCCATTTTTAATTCATTTATTTTTTGGGGAAAGAAAACAAAATATCCTTAAAAGTGCATATGTCAAGATTTCTACCTCTCAATCTTGATTAGAAAGCTTTTTAGTCAAATAACTATACTAAGGATATTAATTAAGAATGAGGGGAAAAGTCCATAAATTCTGCAATTTTCTTTCTTTTTTCCCTAAAAAAATACCTTATGAATTATGTGTCGGTCTGGGCCGACCCTCATCCTTTTAGAGTCAGACCGAATTAGCTCAGTGAAAATAACGGACCGGGCCGGGCCGATCCTAAATTTTCTGTTGTGTCGAGCCAAACGACCCGAACTTTCACTTCTGAAAAGGAGATAGTGACATGTGGCTAATAACTCCACATCATTAAAAAGTTTTAAAATAACAATTTTTTTTCCGCCACCAATGCTTTTTATCTTTCTACGTTTCCAATTTCCATCTCCTCTCTTTTTATATTATCCACGGCTTTTGAGTAATAATAATACTAAAAATTCTTTAAGGGCATATTTATTTAACCGTATTAGAGCACCATATTGTATATAATATGATAATACAATATTTAGTGTGACTTGTATTTTATAAGCTAAAGTTGATGGTAAATTAATACGGTCTATGTCGTATTATTGAATACGGCTCATTTTTGACATATTGTATTGTATTATTTTACAGCAGATTAATGATTTATGCCGGAGTTTGGCACAGTTGGAGGTTAGGGTGTCGGAGCCGACTGAGGGGCACAATGCAAATTTATATTTTTTAAAAATTACATTTTGACCCCTCAATTTTTACAAAACTCCATTTTAACCCTAAAATTTTTACAAAATTACTTTTTGACCCAAAACTTTTTAAAATTATATTTTGATCCTTACATGTTTAAAAAATTATATTTTGACCCTCAAAATTTTTGAAAAATTACATTTAACCTCCAAATTTTTTAAATTTTACATATTGACTCTCTGTACAATACGTCATGACACTAAGTACCGTATCTTACGATGACAATATAGCACAATAAAACACAATACACTTTATACAATACAATACAAATTACTAAGGTCTAAGGGTACTAAAATACCTATTTTACAACTTTATAGGTATAGTTCCTTTCTCCTCGAACAGAAATTACAAGAAATATTGATAATCTAATTGGGTAAGGTTCGGCATATATATTGAATCATGTGTATGGACTATGGAGAAAGCTTCGGCATAAAACAGGTGCGTAGAAAAGTGGTTTGGAAGATGGGCCTCTCTTTTTTTTTGGGTTTTACACTGGCCATCTTCGTTCTTTTGTCGTTGGAGATAATTGCAGAAAGAAATACATGCCTGATGTTGATATCTTTTTTTTTATCCCTTTATGAACTGGGTCGTATGTCGAACAATGAGAAAAAGAAAAGAAATCACAACGAAGAGAAGAAGAAAAAGCAGAGCAGTATGAGGAAAACGAAAGAAAGTAAGCGACGTCTCCACTTTCTTGTATTTTTAATTGCAAAATAAAAAATAAAATTTAAAAAAAAAAATAGAGGTGGCAGTACACATAGGATCGTATTGCAAATGACTTGCGATAGAAAGACTTTCCCCGAAAATTCATTCATTAGTGTGGGTGTTCATACTTCATACTCCTAAAATCACTCGTGAATTCCATTATCTCCTCTTTGTGAAAAAGACTTTGTACATAATGAGAAAGTAATAATGTGACAAAGACTTTGTACTAGGTGCGATCATCAAGAGTCTTCAACTCACTATTCTCACACTAGTACAAATCGCGTGTTTCACGACAATTTTAATAATCATCGTCTAATCAGGAGTCGTTAAATATTAAAGGCTTTTGACGACAGTTTTTGACTGCATTAAATATGACATAAAATGATAGTTTTTATTTAAAATCGTCGTCTAATATGCTGGATGAATACGATTATGGTGTTATTACTCCTACATTAGATGACAGTTTTTTTGTTAATCATCCTCTACGATTGAATTTTAACGACGATTTATCTATGAAACCGTCATTGTTTGTAATAATCAAATATTACATATTACATCAATAAATGTAGTTTCACATGATTAATATTACAACAACGGATAAATTAAATTGTTCATAGAAACACATGTAAATACATGATCATTTTTTTTTTCTCTTTCTATTATTAACTTTTTCAACACATGTCTATTTAACATCTAAATGGACTAGGTTGGAATCTGATCATAATAAAAAACATCAGCCTCGTCAACGGATACGAAGCCTTTACTCACCAATGGAATGTCATTGCAGTCATCATCATCCCCTTTCGCTATCACGAATAATTCTTGGCTTCATGGGAACAACTAAGTACAACTGCAAATCTTTGGATCGGTTGTATAGAAAACTTATTAATATTTCACTACAAAAAACATGACATTCAAAAATGACCGTCGTTGATCCTCCTGACAAAATTTGTATAGTTGGTGCAGAGGATTAGACGACGGTTTTTTGAAAAATTGTCATTAAATATTATATCTTAGATGACGCTTATCAAAGAGATTTCTTAAATTTTAAATATCAAACCCTTAACCTAGACCCCCCGAACATAAACTCGAGCCGCTCTCTCTCTCTTTTTCTCTCCCTTCGTCGCGATTTCATCCAAATCGCCACTCCTCCATTGGAAAACCCACCTCATTCCGCCTTCTCCTTCTCTACCCATCCTTCCCCCTCTCTCTTTTGCTCTGTGGACCTCATTCTCTCTCTCATTTCCGGCACCGTTGCATTTCCACCGTCGAAGTCTGCGGGAAGTTGGAACATTTTTCCTCCGCCATTGTCAACATCATTCCGGCCTCTCTCCTCCGTCAACAACTTCCGAACAAGGCATCTAGAGGTATGATTTTAATGTTTTCATCAATTTACAATTAGTAGATTATTATATTAAATGTTCAAAATTTATTAGACGACGGTTAAGTATAGTTCAATTAGATTACACTATTACTTCTTAATTTAATTTTTTAGAATTTTATGGTTATTATTTGCTAGTTGTAGTTGTTTTAATTTGTATCATTCGAATATGTAATGTTTAAAAAGTTTGAATATGAACAATTTTTAGTTTAGGATTACAAATTTGAAAGACTTAGTTGTGATTTAATTACTTTAGTATTAGATAATTGAATGACTTGGTTTAGAATTAGATGACGGTTTTTATTAGTTTATTTTAAAAAATATTATTATTAGCATTGCAAAGTGTAATTGTCTTAATTTGTATTATTTGAATATATAATGTTTAAATGTGATCTTAAAAATTTCAATACTAGTAATTTTTTAATTTAGGTTTACAAAATTAAAGTAATTTGATTAGTTTACGATTGTATATTCATTCTTAGAAACATGCCGGGACCCGATTAGTTTGAACAAGAAATTAACACCGCACAAGAGTTATTTAGGGATGATGGCACTTCTGAGGGTGAAAATGCATTTGAACTTCGAAAAAGGCTGCCTCCCAAATTTAATCCGGATGATGATAGGAAATGAAGGGCAACCATGATGTGTATGGTTGCCCAAAAGAGGGATAATGGACAAAAATTTGAAGTTAAATTTGATGAAAGAAACAACCCCATTGAAAAAGTGGGGAATTAGCTTATGAGCTATGTTGGCGCCTTGGCTCGTGAACACGTGTCAATTACAATAAAGGATTGGAGATCAAAAGAAAATAAAAATAACAGAGAGATAACTTGGCACGATATAGTTCAAAGTTTCACTATTCTAGAGACCGCAAGGAAATACAAGCTTACATGTACTGGAAAGATGGCTCAGGACTTTAGGTCTAACCTATACACGACGTTTGGATAGTCCCAGAGTCTTTGAACTCCCGCAGAAAGTTAAAAGAAACTACCCTTCAATTATCTCGGAAGTGTGGAAGAAGTTTGTGGAGTACAGTCTAGTCTGGCTTGACAAGCCGTTTCTAAAAAAGCAGATTAACAGATTAGTGTAGAAGTACCCGCATGAGAATGCTCATGGGGGATATAGCAAAGCAGAAGAGAATTATGTAAGTTCCTAAGTATTTTTCTTCAATGATATTAATTATTTTTTGTTTGTATTGTAATCATTAATATACTTTTTGATTGAATACAGATGCAACTCCATAACACTATCGAGAAGCCGGATCAAGCCACTTTATGACAATTCATACGACAAAAATTGGATGGAACTTATAAAATTTTAGAATGCGAAGAGATTGGCAAATTAATTGTGAGTAATTGCTTTTCTTTTCACATTTGATGGATCCCTTTTTTTATGATTTATTGCTTTTCTTTTTAATATTTTTGTTCTTAATTTTGTAGGACCAATTTTTTGAAGAAGAGTCCCAAGAAAAGTTTCAATCTCAGGGGATGGATGATGTGTTGACTCGATCATTGGGAAACCCAGAACACTTCGGGTTGGGTAATCCTAAATTGTCAAGAAGTCAACGTATTTTAATTCCACTAATAGATCAAGAAGGGATCAGGAGTTGGTAAAGTTACGTGAGAGGGTGGAAGCAATTGAGGCCAAATGGGAAGCAATGCATTCACCCCAAGGCCATATCCCTCCACCTGTAGGAGAGGGAATTGAAACTCCGACGGTAGATCAACAATGTAGTGTTAAGGAGAGTTGTACTGTCCATACTACTATGCCACCGGCGGTGGGCCCCCTCATCAAGCTTTGGTGATGGTAGTAATTGCATTCTTCTAGCTCCAGCAGATGAGAATAACAATTTCTTTGTTGTTGCGACGGGGAAAGCATGGATGGATAGTCTCCCAACCGTCCCCCCGAGCTGTCAAGGAAAAAAAGATGGGAAATAAAGGAAGTTGAAACAAACATAAGCGATCACCGTTGAAGTAACCCAATCACTTCGAGACTTAATGATTCATATGCGGTGCACGATTAGCGCCAGTGGAACAATTCCGATTAACATGCCATTTGATATCACTTAAGTGGAGGATATGCAAATCTACATTACCATCGATGATATTGAATGGATGACCACCTATCAAGAACTTAGTATTGGGTACATTATGGCATACATGTGGTAATATAAATATCTTTACTACTTTTTCGCAAAGAATTAAATTTATTATTAAATGTTTAACTAACTTTTTCATTTTCTATGTAGTCACTTGTGAAATATGTGCCGTGAGGAGAATGTCCTGGGACATTGGGGTTTCATGTCCTCGATGCTCACATTATACCTTCTAGGTCAAGTGGAGCTGGCGATAAAGACCCGAGCAAACGTCATAGCTGCATTTTATTACCAAGCGGATCCCTGGCGCACTATCTTCGTGCCATTTAATGGAGGATCACATTGGATGTTGGTTGTGGTATCTTAGTTGCAAGATAGGGTTGTTTGGTTAGATCCGCTCGAGAAAAAACCGCGCCCGGACTTTAAAAGGATGATTGCTCTGTAAGTTTAGCATTATTTATTACATTGGAACAACTAATGTACATTATTCTCTTAATAATTTATTGATATTGTTTCATCATTTATTAGTGCATTGCGTACTTGGAAGGCCCAAACAACCCTTGAAGCCAATTAAGCTTTACTATAACAATAGTGGAGCGGTGGCTAATTCAAAAAAACCTAGAAGCCATAAGAGTGCTAAAGATATAGAAAGAAAATATCACCTAATCAGAGACATAGTAGAGAGATGCGAGTAGCGACTCTAAAGATCGCATCAGAGAATAACCTTGCTGACCCGTTCACGAAGACATTGCCACTGAATGTATTCAATAGGCACTTGGAAGGATTTGGGATTAAAGATATGTCACACATGCTTTAGGACAAGCGAGAGATTGTTGAGAATGATGTCCTAAAAGCATTAGATGTAATATGATATTTATTATTTATTTAATAAAAGAGTTTATTTATTAGTTTATGTGCATATATTATTGAATATTTTATGAATATAATTGAAAATTCAATTATTATTTATGTAATTTTAAGTATTGTATATAAGTATTATATGCGAGAGAATAATATTTAAGAATAATAATGAAAATGATGTTCGTAATGAATTTAATTAAAGTTCAGAATTTTTAATTAAAACATTACTAATACATGTCATTCTCATTTAGAATGGAATGGTGTTATCCGCACAATTAATATAGCGAGATATTGAATGAGTATATTATGTATAATGAGATTATGTGGAACCGGGACACAGACACAATATGAATTTTTGATAATTTTCGTTAAGTATAGAAATTCTAATTGAGTCTATCGATGGTCATATATGGAACGATCTTAATCCTGAGTTCTTAGGAGACCCATTTCTTATATTTTGGAGACATGATGAAGTGGGTAGCCGGAAATGTTATTATACGAGATGGAATCCATTCATTCTTGAGAAATAAGCAGATACATAATTCTCTTAAGGGTTGAAACGATACTTAGACCAGTAGGAACTCTGATTCATGAATTTGTTTTATGAATCATTGTCCATTAGAGAATCAATGATATTCAAGGATGAATATGTAATTAGAGAGGTTAATCAATTTCACCTAGCTCTAATTATGAATTATTTATGGAGTATTGATCTATATATAATGGCTATATCAAATGGAAACTTCACAGTTTGGAAGTAAATTATATCTAAAATTATGAGAGTACAATTCTAAGTTGATAGTGGAGTAACTTTAGAATTAATAAAATTAATTAATTAATTGAAGAGTTTTTATTAATTATTAATTTTATTAGAGCTTGAAATTATAGGTCTATGAGTCCCCGTGTCGTCCTTATAATCCTACAAGACACTAAAAGAAAAATAAAAATTTTAGAATTATGGAATTCTAAATAGAAGGCTTAAGAATAATTAATTGTAGATTAATTAAATATTAAATAATGTGATTACTTAATTTAAATTTAGAACACACATGTGCAGGGGTTCATTGTACAGCTTAGTATTCTAAGAATCCCTCCGTGATTCGGTTGCTTGTTGTCTAAGTTATATAATTGACTTATTTGATAAGTTGTCTAATTCAAATTCAAATTATATTAAGTTTGATTTTAATTGGAATTTGAATTTGACTAAAAATTCTACTGCAAGATAAAGCTAATAAACATGTTAAACATGTCTTGACCGTGTTAAATAAACCATTATTATATTAGTTATTTATTCAATATATTAATTTAAACGGGTTAAACAGATTGACACGATTAATAAATGGGTCGTGTTTGGGTTGCCATTTTTGATACGTTTAATAAACATATTGTGTTTGAGTTGATATTTTCTGACACCATTAATAAATAGGTTGACATGAACACGACCCACTTACACGAATTAAATTGAGGCTTCGTTTGAAATGAGGGTTCAAACCATGGTGATTCTAGTTTTGATTTTGGAAATATAATCATGATTTATTATTTTGGGTCCAAATAATAGTTTTAAAATCAGATTCAGAATCAGGGGTTTGAACCACTTAAAATCAAGAGGGGTGATTTTAGAATCATTGGTGATTCTTGATTTAAAACAGCACATCAGAGTTTAAACCTTGAATTAGAACCATCTAAACCAAACACTAATTCTAAATAAATTAAGTCAGAATTACTTTTTATTTTTTTTATAAATAAACACTGATTTAAATCAGAATCATAATTCTGGATTTGAAAATCTTTATACCAAACGTGCTCCAGATTGGTGTTTTTCGACGCCATATAGCCCCAAGTGCCACTTACTAAAAAAAAAAAAAAAAAAAAAAAAAAAAACCGAAGTTATATATTGTTGTGGATGATGCAAAATGGAAATCAACAACTTCTCTGCTGCAACATAACAATGGAGGACGGGAAAGAGAAAGAGAAGAACCTTCTCGACAAAAAAGAAGAAAAAGCGTCTCTCTTCCCTCTCTTACCAATCCTTTCCACTCCCATTTCTTCTTCTTCTTATTCTTCTACTACTCCACCTCACTGGCTCTGCAACTCCAGCTTCACCGCTGACCTCTCCATCATCAACGACGCCGTTTCCTCCCACTTCCAACCCCAATCCCAATCCGATGAAGATGACGGAAACGACGACGAAGACCATGGCGTTCAAGCGGAGCCGCCGCCGCGGTCGTATGAGCCGGTGGAGTCGCCGGAATCTGACGGAGACTCGGAGAGGAATCGGAAGAAGAAGAAGAGGAAGAGACGGCGGAGGGAGAGAGAGAGTTCGGATGAGAGAGGATTCGACGGTGATTATGGCGGTTTGAGGGGTTCGTCAAATGTTAGGGCTTGGGGCGGTGATTCCCGGACCAAACACTCCAAGGACTATTTCTTCGATTCTCGAGGCGACCTTGACAATTTGGCTTTTGGATGCCTTTACAGGTATTGAATTTTTTTTTCTTTCTGTATTTTAGGGGTTTACTTTGTTTTATTTTCAATTCCTGTTTGGTTGCCGGGAAAATGATAAATTCAAATTCAGTGAAAAATAATGAATTCAAATTGAGTGCATTTAGCTCGTCCCCTAAATCCATAACGTTGTATTATTTAGCGAGTTCTCTGCAATTGAAACTTGTAAATCCTAATTTTCTTGAGCTAGGTCCATAGAGTTGTGTTATATAGAAAGTTATATGCAGTTTGAGTCTTTTTATTTAGTTTGTTCTTGCTCTATTTAGCAAAAAAGAATTGAAATAGAATATGAATGTTTCATGTTAAAGCAAGTGAACTTGATTGGATAATTCAATTTAGAATTGGATCTTAGCACTCAATTTCTATGGTAACAAACATCCAACCAAATTCAATTCAATTTTAGTGAGTGAATTTTCAAGTTTAACGAAAATGAATTAGAACCGAATTTCAAAATGAAACATTAGGTGGATGGATAAAATCTTGAGAAAGCCTTTCGTTTGTCCACCGTTAATCGACAATGAGTGAAATTGAGCATATTTGTTGGGTACTCTATGTAGTGGTTGTCTCATTGATTGTTTGTATTTCTGAGCTGGAATTGGCAATTTGGCTTGTGATAATGCAGAATGGATGTTGCCCGCTACAAGCCCTACACTGCTCTAGGAATATCCAGACTGGATTTTCAAGGTTTGAGTCGGTGGAACCGAACAGGTCCGGCATTGGATAGAGATAGTGATGAGGATGCATTGGACGGAAAACTAAAATCTGGTGGTCGTTATTGGTCGGCAAAATATATGGCTTTGGAGTCCCAGAAGAACTTGAAGCGTGTTCGTATTCTTGTTCCTGAAAGGTTTGCAGAAACAGTTTCGGATGATTATATTCCTTTGATGGATGTTCAAAGTTTGATAGTTGAAGAGTCATGGGAGGATGAAGTGCTGCGCAGAACAAGGGAGTTTAACAAGATGACTAGGGAGCGACCACAGGACGAAAAGGTCTGGTTAGAATTTGCGGGGTTCCAGGACAAGGTTGCGGGTATGCAGTCCCAAAAGGGTGCCCGCTTACAGATTCTTGAAAAGAAGATTAGCATACTGGAGAAGGCGGCTGAGCTTAACCCGGAAAATGAAGAATTATTGTTATGTCTTCTTAAGGCTTATCAGAGAAGAGATGGTACCGATGTATTAGTTGATAGGTGGGAAAAGATACTCGTGCAGAATTCTGGGAGTCATAAGCTTTGGAGAGAATTCTTGCATTTCCTTCAAGGAGAATTCTCCAGGTTCAAGGTTTCAGATATGAGAAAAATGTACTCAAATGCAATACAAGCCCTTTCTGCTGCATGCAGCAGGCACACTAGGCAGGTTCTCAAATGAACATACTCTCCAAATCATCTGTTAATATGATCTACCATATTATCCTAAATGAAAAAAGTTCACATATATTTTGTTATTATTCAGGAACAAGGGAACCTAGAATCTATAAATACCAGTATTTTCCAAAAATTGATCTCTCTTTTGTACATTAAAGAGCAGTTACAACCTAAAACTACAACCAACTGTGGACAATATTTAATTAGATAAGATCCAAATAGGCCGTAATCATCCAAAGAATAGCTGTGATGAAGTTTCCATCAAGACTGCTTTGAGGTGCCATTTTAGGAGAAATTGGCTTACCAAATCTCTGTCTTCGTACTGGAGGGCGGTGTCGGATGGAAGGCAATGCGTCAACGTTAAAAATCCTTTATGGTGCTAAGGGGAATCTCTTCATTGTGATAATTATTAGTTGATAGATTTATTTTCTCTCAAGGTCTCTGATTGTTCTGGATCATAGCAGTCAAAATTTTAGCAGCGTGTTTTATTTGTTCATTTACCATATCTATTGATAATGAGGGTAGAGTGAGTTTTTTTTTTTTTTTTCCCCCTTCAAAATGATCAACGCTTAGAGCCTAAATATTTGTTGTTATGTGTTTTCCATTTTCATGCAGGTCCATCATGCTGCTAAATCTTCACCTTTGGATTCTGCTCTTGTTCAACTAGAACTCGGTCTTGTCGATATATTTCTCAGTCTTTGCAGGTTTGAGTGGCAGGCTGGCTATCAAGAGTTGGCCACTGCTTTATTTCAGGCTGAAATTGAATTTAGTCTGTTTTTTCCTTCTTTACTCCTTACTGAGCAGAGTAAACAAAGGCTGTTTGAGCATTTTTGGAATAGTAATGGTCCAAGAGTAGGAGAAGAAGGTGCTTTTGGATGGTCAACATGGTTGGAGAAGGAGGAAGAAAATAGGCAAAGGGTTATTAAAGAGGAAGCATCCTTGGATGCTGAGAAAGGTGGTTGGACAGGTTGGTCGGAACCATTAGCTAAAAATAAGATTGGTGATGCGGATCCAGATAATGAAGCCAACCATGATATGGAAGTTGAGGAGCTTCAACCAGATTTAGAAGAAGATATGAAGGAAGAAGACGATACCGAAGCTTTGCTAAAGAAGCTAGGGATTGATATTGATGCTGCATCTAGTAGTGAGGTCACAGACATTTCAACCTGGACTAGATGGTCAAAAGAAGAGCTGTCAAGAGATTGTGATCAATGGATGCCTGTACGTGCAAAATCTGCAGGTTCTCTCTCTCTCTCTTCTCCCTACCTATCTCTCCATGCATCTGTTAAGTTTCCAATTTATTCCATTGTCATTTTCAGATCGTTTGTCGCCACAATATCCATTTTACATGTATTTTCTTGATATATATTCCATCAAGAATTAAACCTAGCTTGGCTCTTATACAGATGGAGTCTCGCGTTCTGATGGTACACTTGAGGCAGAAGCAGATGAACACCTTTTGAGAGTTGTAGTGTATGAAGATGTCAATGAATTCCTCTTTTCCTTGAGCTCATTTGAGGCTCGTTTATCACTTTTATCCCAGTTCGTCGATTTCTTTGGTGGTAAGATATCTCAATGGTAAGAAACTCTTTCGAGTGTATCCACTTGATCTAATTTATTATTCTTGTCTTGTCAGAAAAGTAAAAACAATTGGTATATTTTCTTTTCTCTCTGTTTAACGACCTAGCTGAAGTATGATTTCTGCCATGGAAGTATAAACCATGCAACTTTTTCTCTCCTGTTTGCTAACATGAAAATTTCGAATTAATCTCTCTAATAATTAAGAGTTGGGTTTCGATGTGGATGTTGACTCTAAAAGAGTTGAAAGAATTTCTCTAATTGTTTTGGGGTGGCAGAACCTGATGCAGGCCTTGGTTTAGGTTTCCATACCTCTTCATTGTTCTCTGGAGGACTTCTCGTTCTCCATTTCCTTAATCTACTTTTTTTTTTCATTTTTAATAAATTGTTTGCCCTTATTAAAAAAGATTATTAGGAAAAAAAAAAAAACCAAAGCAATACTGTCCTCTGTTTTAAAGGAAAACATTTCCACAAATTTTTACTTTTATTTTTTCCGTTTTCGTTTGCATGCATTTAAATGTGTCTGTGCTTGTTTGTTTCTATTTCTTGCCAGTGATAGCAAATTGCGACTTGTCTAAGTCGCCAATTTCATCTTTTTGTTTACGGTGGTTTTTATGGTTCAGTTATAGAAAGCATTTTATTTATCCTGAAGATCTGTTCTTATAGAAAAGAGGTCTCTAGTTGCTACTTTACATAATGCAATGCAGTTACTCTGGCCATTGGTTTTGAGTCATAGTATTTATTAATATTCTCAAGATGAAAATGGAATGTTATCATTCTCCTTGATGATAACTTGAGTTTTGTGTAATGTTTATTTCATGGTGCTAAAACAAGTATGTATGTGTCTGTATATGCAACATGCATGCTTGCATGTATATATGTAGATCTGTAGGCATTTCTGTTCATATATTTCAGCTAACGTACTAAATGGCGATCTGTGTTTTTTTTATGTTTGCTAACCATTGTTTCCCTTTATTGACAGGATTTGCTCAAACAATTCAAGCTGGATTGAGAAAACCCTTAGCCTGGAAGAATTGCCAGATTCTTTGCTACAAACTTTAAGGAAAGTCCATGATTTAAGCAAACTTCAAAATGATATAGGCAGTTCCAGATTGGAATTTCTTTTGGGGAGCACCAATAACATCTCTAGGAGGACCGACATGATGAAATTTCTTCGTAATGCTACCTTACTTTGCCTAACTGCTTTTCCGCGTAATTATATCTTAGAAGAAGCTGCTTTAGTTGCTGAAGAGCTTTCTGTTACCAAAGTGAAATCTGATAGTTCAGTTACCCCATGTCGAACATTGGCAAAGCGTCTCTTAAAAGCTGATCGACAGGTAATTTCTGTGACATTTCTTTTTCTAATTGCAGATATGTTCATATTTTATATTTTCAGTTGCAAATGGTTATTAATTTTTGGCTTATGTTTATTTGTTTCAATTTGTAAGGGGTACATCATACTACTTGGGCAACACTTTTTTTGTTAGAACCAAATTGTAAGCCATTTCCTACTAGAAGTATTGTTGGATTGGTTTAGTTTAGTCAGACAGGAAATGTGGTTTAGAACCCAGGTATTATTTTGAAACTAGCAAAACTTGGAAATAGCTTTTGGCAGGAAACTTTTCAGGAATCATATTCAGAGAACTCAACTTGTTGGAAATGACGTATGTCATTTTTTATGTTCTCTCTTTGCCATTTTTAAGACTCCGCTGTGCAGATACTTGATCACTGTTTTCTTTTCTCCCCTGTGAATTTCCTATACCTCCCTGTGCCCTTCTTTTGCCTTTGGATTGTCTTCTCTATTTCCCATTTGCCTCAGCCTTGTCATGGCGGCTCTATTTTGTTGGCTCTTTCTCAGTGGTTACCTCCGGATGTCATGTTATTCTCTTCAGCATCCATTTTGCTATTTTTCAACCAGAAGACATTCAATAAACATGGCTGCTTCAAATATTTGATTTTCACAATCCCCATGCTTGGTTCAACTATTTGAACAAAACAATTCAATTCGAATTGTGCTTAAAAGTTCAAATTAGTGTTTGTTTTAGAAATAAAGAGGGACCATTCAATCATCAATTACGATTTGTTTTTTTTGTTTTTTTTTCGATAAGAAAACACCTTTATTGATATGTAATTATCAATAGCAGTTACAAGAGGATAAGGTATCCTTAAAAATACAAGGAAAGAGGAACAAAACAAAAATTCAAACAGATGAAACTAAGGATTCATCTTCCTATCACATCTTTCCAATTCAAAACAATCAAAGAAAACGGAAAACCCTTGAAAACTTTGTGTGACGAAGCCCATAAAGAAGCTGAAAATTTGGCTCTCTCAAAAATATCAGCAATATGCAAAGCCTTCTCGAGAATTATCGCCTTTCTTTCCATTTACAAGGTCCACATAACAGAAAGTACGGTGCTTTTCCATAACACTTTTGCCATCTTGTTGAAACCCAAACCCAACAAACTTTCCATGAGCACCGAAGTGCAGTGAGTTGGAGTAACCCAGAAAAAACCAGCTACATAAGTAAGAGTTGTTGCCAAACTGATCTAGCCAATTACAATGTAACAATAGGCGGTCGATGGTTTCTTCATTACCCCTGCAAAGGATGCACCAGGATAGGGGAAGAGCAATGTGGGGGGTTTTTCCTCTTAACCACATCACAAGTATTAAGCTTACCATGCGCAACCAGCCAAGCGAAAACTTTGATTCTATGGGCGACACTGGATTTCCAAATGAAATGAAATGGTTCAAATATCGAGTTATTATTTCTGTCAACTAGTGAAGTAAAAAAGAACGACATGAAAAAGAATTTAGAATGTGTAATAGACAATGCAAATACTCTACCTCTATGTCATTGAGTCCTCTCTGAAAAACAAGGTTCCAATTTGAATCATTATTGCTGGAAAGCGAACAAATTTGGGAAATAAGAGCATGAGGAAAGTCCGTATCTCTGAACAAACGAGGGAACAAAAAAGAATCATTTCCACACCATTTATCTTTCCAAAACAGTGTTTTAGTCCCATCCCCTACTCTCAATTTAACATTTTGAAGGAAGACATTCAGCCCTTGAGAGAGAAATTTCCATGGAGTCCTAAAAGATCCTCAGGTCACTAAGTTCGAATCCCACCCATTTGATTGCAACCCATACTTCTTATGATTTTATCCCACAAGGAGTTTTGTTCCTAAGGAAATCTCCATAAACACTTGCCTAGAGGAGCCAAGTTCTTCCATTTTAAATTCCCAATACCCAACCCGCCTTTCTCCTTGCTTTTTGACACATTGTCCCAAGCTACCACGCTTCTTTGTCTCCCTCCTTGATTGTTCCACAGAAAATTTCTCATCGATCTTTCCAGCACCTCAACAACAGTTCCAGGAATCTTGAACAAAGATATGTAATAAATTGGAATGCAGGCAAGGACCGATTGAATTAGAGTTAATCTTCCTCCCCTAGAAAGGAAGGATTTCTTCCAGTCATCCATATTTCTTCCAGCCATCCAATCTTTTCGACACCTTTTTTAATCACCGGCATCCAAAATTCCATTGACAATGGATTCCCACCCAGAGGCAGACCCTGATATTTCACAGGCGATTCACCCACTTCACAACCCAAATCCATCGCAAAATCATGAATCAAACTCTCCTCGACATTTATTCCTGCCTATGTGCTTTTACCCATATTTATTTTCAAGCCTGAGCAAAGAGTGAAAAATTTCAGAATTGATTTCACATTTCTAATGTTCTCCATACCGGCCCACAACAAAAACAAGGTGTCATCTGCAAATTGGAGATGTGACACAGTTACTTCCTCTATTCCAATTGAGAATCCCTCCACAACTCCCACCTCTAATGCTTTATCTATTAATCTACCAAGCACATCAGCCACTAGGGTAAACAAAAAAGGAGAAAGTGGATCTCCCTGTCTTAAACCCCGTGTTGCTCCAATCGTCGTCGGGGCCTACCATTGATCATGATTGAAAAGTTTGCCAGTGCTAAACAACCTTTAATCCATTTCCTCCACCTACTACCAAAACCTTTCTTTCCTAACAGTGTGTCAAGAAACCTCCAACAAAATTGTGTCACTTAAGGCTTCCCTTAACCTATTTACCAAGACTTTTGCCAAAATTTTGTAAATGCTAGTGACTAAACTTATGGGCCTAGTCTTTCAACCTCCTGGAATCCGTCTTTTTTGGAATAAGGCAAAGAAAAGTGTGATTCATAGCCGAATTGATCACCCCATTCCTGTAAAATTTCTGAAAGACTTTCAAAAGGTCTCCTTTCACCACTCCCCAACACGCTTGGAAAAAATCTGAGGAGAAACCACCTGGACCCGGTGATTTGTGCCTATCGCTACTAAAACCAACAAGTTTCACCTCCTCCTCTTCAAAAGGTCTCTCAAGCCACTGAGCTTTATCCTCTGAAATTGCACACCACTCAATACCATGAAGAGCCCATGAAAATTCCTCCTCCTCTTTCAGAAAATTCTCATAAAACGTGATGATCTCCCTTTCGATTCCCCCCTCCTCCAAAACCGTATTGTCTTCCTTTTACATTCTCAATATGGCACTTTTATTCTTCTATTGCTGACAAGCTTGTGAAACAATTTTGTGTTGGCATTGCACTTCTTAATTCACCTAAACTTCATTTTTTATTTCCAAGCCACTGCTTCTTTGAAAACGATTTCCTCCAACTTATTTCTTAATGCATGCCTTTCCGTGCTCTCATTTTCATCCAAAGCACTAACTTCTTCTTTGCTGTCCACTTTTTCAATTCTTCCCAAGGCCTCACCTTTTGCTAAATTTGTGTCACCAAGAATTTCCTTATTCCACCTTTTGAGTTGAACCTTCATACCTTTCATTTTCTCCATTATTTTGATTCCTTCCCAACCTCTCGGGTTCAAATTTCCCTTCTAGGTTTCACACTCCGTCCTAAACCTCAAATGATCCAACCACATATTTTCAAACCTAAACGGAGTCGGTCCCCGTCTTATTGGTGCTGAATCCAAAATCAATGGAAAATGATTTGAGCATGCTTTCACTCCAACCTCTTGTCTAATTTCATTGAGCAAGTTTTCCCTACCGTTTGTGAACAAGAACCTATCAATTATGCTCTTAGCCACCTCCTCCCTAAAGTTTGACCAAGTAAACTGAGAATTATACAACACTAAATCCCTCAAATTCGCCTCCCTTATGAACTCATCACAAGCCTTCATACTCCTTGTAACCCCTCCTCTGGGAAATTTTTCTTGACTAAACCTTGTAAAGTCTCCACCTACACACCAGTTTGGTTCACAAATACTATTCGATCCGCCCAACTCATCCCAAAACCTCCCGCTCTCTCTATAGGAATTCGGTCCATACAATTTATCTGTTTCAATTTTTATGGAGACTGAAAATTGACCGAGTAAACACTCACTGATTTGTATTGATCTGTTATCCCAAATGATCACAATACCCCTTCATCTACCCATTGAGGAAGAGTAGCCCAAATTTCCACAAACTCCCTATCGACCTCTCGTTTTTATCTCCTGTAAATAACTATCTCCGGCTTCATTCGATTCAAATTATCCTTTACCACTCCTCTATTTCTAGCCGAACCTACCCCCCTCACATTCCATGACACGATCTTTATTTATCAAATCTTTTTCTCCCTTGACTTCTACCTCGCTTGTCGTAGTTGGCTCTACTCTCCGAATTCTTAAGCTCCCTATGGCCTCTCTTGGTCATCTTTCTTTCCTTGAAACCCATTCTCCTTATTCTGTGTTTTGAATTCTCTCAACCACCCAATTCACAATCTCCCATTCCTCCTTAGACAAGGCTGTAATAGGCGGGGACATTCAAATGGTTGATTTTGGAATTCATTACCCCCCTTAAATTTACAATCTAAATTGTTGACAACAGCTCAAATGCAATTATTTTTTATATTTTCGCTTCTCAACTTTAAGCTTAAAAATGTCATAACTTCTTCGTTTCTGTAGAATTTCAGAGAAGGAAATTGCCCTCTTTTCTCTCTTATTCCTCTTATAGAATCGGTACAATATATATATATATATATATATATGCTACAACTATAAATTCTAGGTTAAAGAGAATCGGGAAAATATCCCACTAAACTAGGAGATAAGAGATAAAGGAAAACTGAATTTAAAGATAGGAAATCAAATCCTAATCCTAATATCAATCCGAACTATATTGAGGATAATTCCTAATTTGAATTTTGAATTTCAACACTCCCCCTCAAGCTGATTTGTATATGTTGACCAAACACAGCTTGTGACTCAGTTTCTCAAAACTTGTTCTTGGTAGGGCCTTAGTGAGGATGTCTGCCACTTGAGATTGAG